TCTAATACAGAGCAACAAATAAATGGATAAAAGATCAATTCTCCCAATGCGCACTGTTGCTGTGTACGCTGTAATATAATTGAACGCACAACGTTGAACTTGGGAGCTTGCATGCCAAGTTATTATTTGATCCGTGGTTAGTGCTTATGCTATGTTAATACTTTTAATCTTATTTCCCTATTTCATCTATAAAGCAGAGATGAGGATGTGGTACAACACTTTGTTGAACAGGAGCAGAATTGCAGTCATTTCATCTTCAAAAGGAAAAACATCCTTTGTCGTTGCGCTGTGGATTACGCCGCTAAAAAGCAGGACATGAGAGTCTTCCTGTCTCTTGGTTACCATAGAAACAACATCAACACTATCTTCAACAACTTTTGCTTTTCCATGTCATACAGACTCATTTACATTTACTGGCCCAAAATGAAAAAAGGTGTCTCACGTGTCCCGTCCCTTATCGATATAAACTGTAATCACGATCGCCGGGTGCTCGTCTGCACAAGGAACGCAGATGACGGCGTTCCCAGGGTTCCCTCAACAGGGGCCTTTCTTTGACAGAGGAAGAGTTCATTATAGACAGCCTAATTGGCCTAACAATGCGCTTTCTGAGAAACATTGGCTCACGCACACACAAGCGGATGTACAGAAGGTACAAAAAAAAAAAAAAAACACACCCACGTGCACACATACGCACACACATTCTAAGAGCAACAGCCTACCATTGTCAGCATCACATTAAAACACACACAGTCATAACAACATTAACGGAGAAGTGCGGAGCGCCTGGTTCTCATTTCCAGGAGATATTCACAACACTCTCACACGCACACGCATTTATATACAGTCAATTGGAAATGCTCTGTTCTGACCCGGTTGGGCGGAGCTGCGGATTCAAGCGGGTTAATGGCAGCCAGTCTGTGGTTAGCGCCGCTTCTAAATACTCGGCAGCAGTGGCGGCTCTGTGTGTGAGGTGACACGATGCCAAAGGCCTCTGTCTCCACTGGTGACATTGTCAGACTCGCCTGCCATATGTCGGGAACAAATGGAAAGCCTTCAGATGTTTCCGTGGCATTTTCAAAATGCAATCCAAGGGTTCGTTTCCAAAAAGGAACGCACAAGCGTCATCGTCAACAACATCACACGTGGCCTAATATAATTTCATGTCATCTCGTGTGTGTGCTGATGGATGCAAAATGTTTGTTGGCTAGGTACCAACGGCCAGCGTGACGATAGAAGGTGCGTCAGCTCTCAACAGAGTGCGCTGGTCATCCGGAGGGAAGGAAGTGGCTGTGGGTGACTCGGAGGGACGAGTGTGGGTCTACGATACTGGAGAGGTATTCAGCGTGATATACTAGATGGACACACTTCCTTATAAATCTTTTCGGTTCTCTAGCAAAGATATTTTAGTTGACAAAAACTAAAAAAGTACCGGTAACTAAAAGTGAAAATTGAATGGTTATTTTTAAAATCTTTTTGTTGAGTTTTCACGACACAATACTGAACATATTTGGCAATCCCCCCCCCAAAAAAACATTTTGCATTATCACAACAATCTGTTAAAAAAAAAAAAGAAAAGCTGCAACTCTCTGGCCTCATCTTGTATCTCTAATTGGATTTTGAAGAAACCGCAGTGGCCAATCAGACTGATGAAGCGTCAATTATTTTCATGAGCTTGCGAATATGTATTAATGAGCTCAGCCTCTGACCTCACAATTTTTTTCCGACAACAATTCCAACAAATAAAAACTCTAGTCTTCCCAGAAGAGGTGGAGCTGTTCTCTCCCTTCAGCCAGGTTTGACATCCCACTTCTTTCTTCTATATAACTTCTCGTGGTAAAATATAAGTTGCTCTGCATTAAATGACACGTCGCGATGCCAACATATGGTGAGACACAAAGTGGTAAATTGTATATAAGTGACTCGCTGACGCTTTTGCTGAGGGTTTGCTGTCCACACTGGACTTTTGCGATGTTTCATGTAAGTTTGGTCTGCTGGTGAAACACACGCACAATGAACTAAAAATATGAAGTACTTTATGCTACAGTAAAAACCTCCACAAACACCGCAATGGATCATTTTGGGTCTGTTAGCCCTGCGCGTTTACCCAAATGTCAGAACTGTTATGGATGAGTGTGTTTGATCCCCCTTCTCCTTCCTTTTCTTCATGTCCTTGTAAAATAGCCTCCACGTGACTTGGCCATTGCCACAAAGCGAGCAAGCACCCCGCCTGAAATCCCCGCCATGTTCGCAGGCGGGCATTTTCAGCTTAAGGCAGTGTTGGCACATTAGCTCGACTACCGGTAATTTTACCACGGCTAATTTTAGTATGAATTTGTTATGGCGGTATGACGGGGAAATAAATATTGGCATTTTGTTCTTTTGCCCCGTGCCATTTGAAAATGAATGGGTTGGCCAGAGTGCGCTGGTCATCCGGAGGGAAGGAAGTGGCTGTGGGTGACTCGGAGGGACGAGTGTGGGTCTACGATACTGGAGAGGTATTCAGCGTGATATACTAGATGGACACACTTCCTTATAAATCTTTTCGGTTCTCTAGCAAAGATATTTTAGTTGACAAAAACTAAAAAAGTACCGGTAACTAAAAGTGAAAATTGAATGGTTATTTTTAAAATCTTTTTGTTGAGTTTTCACGACACAATACTGAACATATTTGGCAATCCCCCCCCCAAAAAAACATTTTGCATTATCACAACAATCTGTTAAAAAAAAAAAAGAAAAGCTGCAACTCTCTGGCCTCATCTTGTATCTCTAATTGGATTTTGAAGAAACCGCAGTGGCCAATCAGACTGATGAAGCGTCAATTATTTTCATGAGCTTGCGAATATGTATTAATGAGCTCAGCCTCTGACCTCACAATTTTTTTCCGACAACAATTCCAACAAATAAAAACTCTAGTCTTCCCAGAAGAGGTGGAGCTGTTCTCTCCCTTCAGCCAGGTTTGACATCCCACTTCTTTCTTCTATATAACTTCTCGTGGTAAAATATAAGTTGCTCTGCATTAAATGACACGTCGCGATGCCAACATATGGTGAGACACAAAGTGGTAAATTGTATATAAGTGACTCGCTGACGCTTTTGCTGAGGGTTTGCTGTCCACACTGGACTTTTGCGATGTTTCATGTAAGTTTGGTCTGCTGGTGAAACACACGCACAATGAACTAAAAATATGAAGTACTTTATGCTACAGTAAAAACCTCCACAAACACCGCAATGGATCATTTTGGGTCTGTTAGCCCTGCGCGTTTACCCAAATGTCAGAACTGTTATGGATGAGTGTGTTTGATCCCCCTTCTCCTTCCTTTTCTTCATGTCCTTGTAAAATAGCCTCCACGTGACTTGGCCATTGCCACAAAGCGAGCAAGCACCCCGCCTGAAATCCCCGCCATGTTCGCAGGCGGGCATTTTCAGCTTAAGGCAGTGTTGGCACATTAGCTCGACTACCGGTAATTTTACCACGGCTAATTTTAGTATGAATTTGTTATGGCGGTATGACGGGGAAATAAATATTGGCATTTTGTTCTTTTGCCCCGTGCCATTTGAAAATGAATGGGTTGGCCAGGTGGGTTAAGGTTGACCAACGGCGACACGGTGACGACTGTTTAGCACGTGCAGAGGTCTGGGGTTCGATTCCGGCTGAAGAGCTGTATTAAGTTCTGCCTTAAAAAAAAAAAAAAAAAAAGGAATGC